GCCCACCTGGCTGTATCGCAAAGTGGAGCATCGTTATGTGGGGTGGCCTGTATTCATGTCAAAACTGGGGCTCTATGACAAAAGAGAACAAGTAGTAGGGAACAAATAGACTGCCACACCTTCAAACTAAAGCGCTTAGGACCTCATACTCACTCATCCCTTCTTACATCTGGCCTACACCATTACCACCTGACATTTTCTTAAATCAGAACAGAAATGCTGCGTCCCTAACATGTCAACTTTGTCGTTCCCACGGCCCCCTCCAACTCTCGTGTGTGGGCAGAGACAATTCTGCACAGGTAAGAACTCAGACACAATTGAGATCATCTTTTAGCTTTTGTCCACACTTGTATGTTCCATGATTTTCATGACTTATGTTTAAGCAACTGTCAAAGTCCAGTCAAAATGCCTGAAAAGGATTTTGTATTAGATGCCAGCCCACGTGGACAGAGACAAGAAGAGACCACGACAGAGCGGTGTCTGGGTGTCTTGGAGACAGGAGGCCTACAGTCAAGTGGTGCCGGACTTGCCAGGGGAGGGACCTGAGAGGCCAGCCGGGGAGGTGTTCCCGGAAGCACTGAGGGTGGGGTGGGGGTCGCAAGTGTCTCCCCAGCCCCAGGAGCCAGACAGCTTGTCCAACACGGAAAGCAGCTCAAGGTTCCAGCCAGACCTTGGGGACAAGCAGACCAGACAGGCTGCTTGTCACAGTGGGGGTTCTGGTACCCTTGTCCCCCCAACACTGGAGAGTGCACATACCCCTTGACAGGTGACCAGCAATGACCTCTCTGGAGAGAGGCCCCGGAGAAAAGACCTCTCGGTGTTGGTACTGGGAGTGGGGGCGGGAGTGAGTTCCAGCTGACCCCCTCATTGTGGAACCAGGGAACCCCAGGTGTCGAGGGGAGCCTCTGTGAGCAGATGAGCCCCCGAGGCAGGCCCGAGGGGCTGGAGCTTCCTCCCAGGACTTCCCAGCCTACACCATCCTGGGATGTGGCCCTCCAGGTGCTGTAGCACATGGCCCCTTGCCCATGGGGTGCTGCTGGAGCGCCTCGTCAATCCTGTGAAGAGGTGTGTTCCTGGCACGCTGCTTTTCTTCCCTCCAGAATGGACACCAGACGTCCTGGCTCTTTCAGGGACCTCGGTACAATCAGCAGCTTCTCCCTGGGCCAGCATTCCTGGCCTGTCTGCTTCCCGGGTGGGTGGGCGGGCTCCCCAACTCTGCCTCTGCCCCACCTGCTGCAGGCACCTGGCCTGGGCTGGCTCAGCCCTGAGGAAGGAGGCTGGGCTCCCCTCCCTGCTCTACCCAGAGCCACTGCACGCCCCTCAGCCCCAGGGCTGACCACACTGATGCAGTAGGTCTCTGGGCGTGTCCCCTCCTGTCAGACCCCTGAGCCCACCCAGTGCTGGAATGTGACGTGCAGACTCTTCCAGGGCTGGGCGAGGGCACTCATGGCCGGGGCCCTCACTCCTGCTGGCAGCACCCTGATGACAGGTTGGCCCTCCTGCAAATGGGCCAGGGCAGTGCCCTCCAGGAAGTAAAGCCAAGACCACAGGCCATGCGGCCCCATGCAGACAGTGGGCCAGAGCCCAGGGGCAGCTGAAACCAGACGCCTGTTTATTTCCTAGGAAGGAGAGTCCGAGGGTGTTCAGAGAGTCCCCACCAGTTCTCATGCCGCAGAGCGAGCAGACGTCACTTCCAGAAGAGCACGTTCCAGAAGAGCAGCCAGCAGGGGTAGAGGCCCAGAGCCAGCAGCGGAAAGAGCAGGGCACCGTACGTGTGGTGTTCCAGCACACCCTGTGCCAGCGCCGTCAGGAAGAGCTGCCAGCCCTCGGCCAGTGACAGCGGTGCCTCCTGCAGCTCCCGCCACACGAACAGGCTGCCCAGGAGTGTGGCTGCCGGGCTTGTCAGCACCAGCAGCGCAGCATACAGTGGCCTGCGTGGAGGAGCAAGGTCAGGGAGGGTACTGAGTTGGTGGCACAGGCATCAAGTTGTGGGGGGAGGGGTATGGTGTGAGGGCAGAGTCTGTGGTGAGGAACATAGGCCCTGGGGGTGGAGGACACGTCACAGTGGGCTCCACGGTGGGGGCTGGCCAGCACATACCGGGGTCCACAGGGCTCAGTGAGCGCAGCAGCAGGCACCATGGTGGCGGCCAACAGAAAACCCAGTGAGAAGTTGGTGAGGGTGATGCAGGCCAGCTGCAGTGCCAGGTAGATCAGTGCCACCAGCTTCAGTGCCATCCAGCCCCTGTCCGTGGCCTGTGAGCTCACCACCCTGCAAGGCAATGTGCTCACAGAAAGCTGTCTGCATGTCTAGGGAGCCCCCTGCCTGTGCCCACCCAGCCCAGCTCTCACCGGTGGGTATTGTGTGGAAGGGCCAGGCCAGCTGCGTAGATGGCCAGCAGCGTCAACACCACAGCCTCAGCCTCGGCCACAGGAAAGTGCTGGGTGGCCACGTGTTGGCCCAGCACTGGTAGGATGTAGAGAGCCAGGCCCATGGCCTGTGAGATCAGCAAGGGCGCCACAAGCGAGGCCAGCCCCATACCCTGCAGGGCACACAGGTACTTGGTGGTGGGCCCTGGGGTCAGGCAAACTCCCAGGATCCTCACCACCACCCCAGCAGCTGAGACTGAGTGGTAGCAGTGACCTTCTTCTGGGACCTGAGAAGTCCGCCCGAAAGGCAGGAGTGAGGAGGAGACCATCACCTGTGCTGGGGGGAGGGGAGGACTGGGTCCAGAGGCCGCTTCAGCTTCCTCAGGGCCCACGCCGGCTTCATGCAGCTGCATCCACAGTCCTAGAGCGTGGCCTAGTCAAGGACGCTGACGAGACCTGCGATAGGATCTGCCCGAGGGGCCCAAGGCTCACCCGCACCCTCCACCCTGAGGACGGAGAGCTCTCCCCAGCCTAGAGTGGAGGGGCCTGCCGCCGGCTGCAGTAGGTAGCAGGCGTGCAGAGGATATCTTGAGGACCAGGACCAGAAGCAAGAAGCCAGCAGCTGGCACGTAGAGGCCGATGGAGACGAAGCGGGAGAGGGCGGGCAGCAGGTACAGGAAGAAGGACTGGTGCAGGCGCTCCAGCAGGTGGTTGAGCTTGCGGAACATGCCCTCCAGAGCCCTGCGGGCGAGGGGCAGGGTCATGGCCCGTCAGGCCCCCCACAGCCCCACAGCGTCCCAGCACAGAGAGGGGGGACCAGCAGCCACTTACTTGCCCACTGCCACCAGATCATACTTATAGTGGCGGAAACTGTTGATGCCACGTAAGGTTAAGGCCTCCACGCGGTAGCGCAAGAAGAGGCCGTGGGGTCCGTGGGGGCGGCCAGAGGCCTGCTGCAGAACCATGAGCAGTAGTGTCTGCAGACCCTGCAGGGGCCCGTCTATTGACGTCCAGTCCTGGGGCTGCAGCTTAGAGGGTTTGGAGACAGGGTCAGCTCACTCCCACACACAGGCCCCGCATTCCCCGACAGGCGGCCCTACCTTGCCCTGCAGCGTGCACAGCAGACCTCCCTTCTGGCAAAAGGTCTGGAAGAGGTTGAGTAGGTCAAGGTTGGGCAGCTGCCCATTGAGTCCCTCCACAGCCACGTCAAGGCTAGTGACCACATCGCTGCTCAGCTCCAGGGCCACAGCTGCCTGGATGGCGCCAGCCCGGCCCTGCAGAGGGGATGACTGCATGCCTGTAGGAGCAGGTGAATGAGCTGCCCTCGGGGGGCTGGTGAAGACAGCAGTCCTGAGAGAAGAGGCAGAGCAGGGCAAGAGCACTCACCAGTGACATTGACATCGTGATAGGCTTCAAGCCAAGCCTCGGTGCCCAGAAGGTCATGTTCTGTCACCAAGAAGATGATGTCTTTGGCCCAGTAAATCTGCCCTGGAGGCCAGAAGCAGGGTCAGCAGGGGCTGGGGCAGTGGCCAAACCCTCCCTTGCCAGCGGTACTCCTGAACCTCACCTCGAAAGTGGGCAGCGAGTGCCAGCAGCAGCCCCACGGCCTGGTTGTTGGTAGAGTCAGGGCCACAGGGCACGGTGAGCACCAGAGACTCAGTGCTGGCAGCACGCGGGGCCCGCAGGATGCCATACACGTTGGTGCCTGACACCATCTGCAGGCAGTATTGGGGGGAGCCTCAGCACCGCCCCACCCTTAGACAGCTGAAGCCTCCCCTTTACAGTCAGAAAATGCCCATCGGGGATTTCTCTGGTCCCTGGACAACCCCCACCGAGATTCCTGGCCTCAAACCACCCCTCAAGGTGCCATCGGGTCCCAGGCACACTCCCTCCCCACAATACATAGCGCTCGTGGGTCTCATCTGGAAAGGGCAGTTTCCGAGAAAAACTCTGCGCGTAGACTTCCAGTCCCACCGACCGCATCGTCCGCTCCAGCCAGGCCACGGGCAGAGCCCTAGAGACACAGGAGGGCCTCTGAGCAGAGCTCCCGGCCTTAATCACCTCTGACCGGCCCCCGTAAACACGGTTCTACCGCTCACCCCGACTTCCTGCGGTGGGCAGCGAAGTCCCGGGCGAAGCCCCGGGCACGGTCCCCACCCGCAAACTGCTCCTCGACCATGGTGGAGCCCATGGCGTTCTCCGACATGTAAGTGCGCTGGGTCAGCGGCGGGAAAGCCAGAGCCAGGAACCACACGATGCCCGCCACGTAGCTCAGCACGCTGCGGGAGAGGGGACGGAAGGGCCACTGGAGAGTTAGCGAGTCCTGGGACCCCGGCTCGTGGCCTCAACCTTGGCACCGGGGGTCGAAGGGACGTGTCTGAGGGAACTGGACCCGGAGTCCCGGTGCCGGGGCGCCAGACGGGAGACCTGAGCCCCGAGCCCCAAGTAACGCCGATGGGCCGGAGGGGATGAGCGCCGGCGGCTGGAGCCCC